CCCCGGTGACCCGCGTCCGGGCGAGGGAACGCCAGATCCAATGGTAACGTCCGTCATAAGGGGTCTTCAGGGGTCACGTGACAGCTAGCATTTCTGAAAACAGGTCTCGTGTGCATCCAGAGGCATGAAATGTGCTGAAAACAGCTTTATTAAAACTTCACAAATCAAACAGTCTGAGTGAGAGGTTGATATACCAGAACATGAGCTGTGATGAAAGCATGTACCGTTTTAACCAATAGGAAAATTGAACTTATAGTTCAACAGCACTGTTAACCCAGAGGGCAGCACCAAGGCAGCTTTAGACAAAATTACAAGAAAATGTTAAAATTAGCACAGAAATACAAAGATAAGGCACAATTTAGACAGGTTATCTGAACAAAGAGTTGCTCTTTAAATATTTTTGTTGTACACTACAGGTGGAATCTGTGCAACAAATGAGCTCATTCTGATGTACCTGGTAGTAGAACTTCTGTTTGGACCATCCCAGCCCTCCTCCGCTCACACTCACTGAAACCAAGTCCTGCTTCCTCTCACTGCTGGGCTCAGTTCTGCACACAATCCTGGAGAGACAGAAGTCAGAATTATTCTCATGCACAGATCTCTTCAAAGTCTGCATAAAGTGACAGTACCACTGAGTGTTGGTAGCTTCAGACTGAATGAAGCAGCAGCAGTTCATGTGTTCAGTACCTGGAGGAGACCTCATACAGTTCAGGGACCACAGAACACAACACTCCAGCTACTGTCACAGAGTGGAGGATGTCTTCAACCTTCTGACCCAGGTTGGAACCTGAGATCGTCACCAAGGTGCCTCCCTCAAGCAGGCCAGAGAGAGGCTCGATCTGAAGAAAAGATGAGAGTCCACAACATCAGATAAAAGAATATTCTGCAATCAGCTATTTCTATCATGCTTACACATTTCTATCTCTATTATAAATTCTTTATAATTATTTATTAGGAGACTTCTCTTAGGAGAAGTCTTTATGTTGTGAAAGTCTGTCCTGTGTGAAATGTATTATTTTTACCTGTGTCTGTGTGTTACTAAGGTTCCTCATGAACCACTGAATGTATATGAATGAAGACTTTTAAAGTATTCATTTGCTGTACATCAACAACTTTTAAATTCAGTCTGATTCAASATGGCTCCCAGAGCTGWTTAATCTCAACTGATACAGAAATAGCTAATCTGACCTGAAAGGGTACACTCAGAGAACAGAAAGATGGCAGGGCTGCAAAATGTTGGAGTAGAGCTTATTTCCAGAGATTATGAAGATGGGCGGGACAACATCAAGAGTGTATGATGGTGCGGTGCTACTCAGAGTGCGTGATGGAGGTGGAACTACTCACAGAGTATATGATGGGGCAGGGCTACATATAGAGTGTATGATAAGGTGGAGCTACATATAGAGCAGAGGTCACTAATAGCCGGACCTCGGTCCGGATCCGGACCGAGTGGGGGTCTCATGCGGACCCGAACGCAATACATGATCAGTCCCTTTCATAAGTCAAATCCGCACAATT